TGCTACTCAGGCCTCTACCACTTTACAAGCGGGGACTCTACAATCAGGCCAGATGGGCTAGGGCATGGGTCAAGACGGAGGACGGGCCTAGGGGCGTGTCTACGCCATCACACCTCAGACTGAACCAGTGGATCAGTCAGTCATTCAGGGTACATTTCTACTCTCTTGCTTATGGGCTAGAGTGTTATTTTACTCTGGTGCTTCGCATTAATTCATATCTGTATCATGTGTGAGGGATCTAGGCTTAGAGGTTGATACCTTGGAAGAGCCGTTGTATGTGAATTCACCCCTAGGAGCTAGGGTGTGTGTTGATCAGATATGTCAGGGTTGTAAGTTAAAAATATCGGGGATTCTACTCATCGTAGACCTTAGGGTCATGGACATGTCGGAGTTCGATGTCATCCTTGGGATGGACTAGTTGGCGGCACATTAGGTCGTCATTGATTGTGATTAGAAGAGGGTAACCGCCTACACACTGGACGGTGTTTGTTTCAAATTTCAAGGGAAAAAGCACAATGCCTTGCCCTAATTCGTGTACGACTCTAGATGGCACGGGCTGTTGATAGGTTGGCTTACGAGCCTTACTTTAGAGGACGAGGTGAGACAGGATTTGGGTCTACCTCGGGTTGTCTGTGAGTATGAGGACGCTTGTTTGGATGAACTACCGGGATTACCTTCACATAGGGATGTAGACTTTATCATTGAGTTGCATCCTGGTACATCACCTATTTCTATGGCACCAGCAGAGTTGCAAGAACTCAAGGTCCAATTACAAGAATTGTTGGACAAGGATTTTATTAGATTGAGCACTTCATCTTGGGGCGTTCTGGTACTATTTGCCAAAAAGGATAAAGACCCTTCGGTTGTGTATAGATTTTCGGCAGTTGAATCGAATCACTATCAAGAATAAGTACCCTTTGCCTAGGATTGATGATCTGTTTGATTAGTTGAGGGGAGCGTGGGTTTACTCCAAGATAGATCTCTGCACTGGGTACCATCAGTTGAGGATTAGGGAGACAGATATGTCTAAGCCGGCGTTTAGAACGCAGTACGAGCATTTTGAGTTCACCGTGATGCCATTTGGATTGACCAATGCCCCGGTGGTATTCATGGATCTTATGCATAGGGTGTTCCAACCCTATTTAGATCAGTTCGTCATGGTATTTGTTGATGACATCCTGATCTACTCCAAGTCTGATGGAAGGCCCTCACATGGGACCTCAAGGATGAAGAAAGCCAGAATGTGGCTTTATTTTTGAGTATTTGTAAATGATTATGCAAACTTGTTTTTGATATGTAAATTCATGGAAATGAATGTAATAGAGTTGGTATGGACCTTGTGTAATACGAAAATCTTCATTATATATGGGTTGGATAGAAATATTAAGTCTTGAAATGAATTGAAAATGAAAAAAAGTGAAAGAGGCAAATCTGGGCAAGATCTACCGGTAGATCGTTGTCTAGTGGGCAAAACCTACCGGTAGGATCTTGTATACGCTGAATTTTTGCTATCAGGCAAAACCTACTAGTAGGAATTTCCGGTGGGAAAACCTACCTGTAGGTCCTCCAAAAATTTGAAAACTTTAAAATTGCTTTGCCATACTTTTTGGACTTGAGATTTTTTAGTTTCAAGGATATAAATGGACATAAAATAAGGATAAATTGTGATATATCGGATCTTGGCCGGGTCAAATGGTATAATGTACACGGGTTATACTTGTGGGTGATGATTCCGGTTAAGGGGATGTTATTGACGTGATATCGGGTTGTGTGACAATCATGGGTACTTCCGCGGGTTGACGGGTGGTCAACGGTTGAAAAAGGATCCCCGGTTCTAGGGGGGTCACAACCTCAGTGTTAGTTGAAATGAAAGCATCAGGTTAATGGGTTCTATTTTTTGGTAACCCACTTTTAAGTTTTGAGTATTCCATATGCTACCTTCACATGATCTTACCTTCATGGCCTTCACCTTGGTTATTGAAGTACCCAACTTTGTTGATTTTTCCTGTGACAACGCATTTCCAACAAACATGCACATTTAACCATTTCCTTCCATGTTTATTGTTTTCATTAACATATTGCATCTATATTCTTGAAGTAGCAAAGAAACCAATCTGTAGGACTTACGCTATGTATCTATGTTCTTCAAGTATCAAAGAGGCCTGTTGTGTATAGGTTGCCATTTTTTTACCTTGTCCTTGTAGAACTTTTCTTGAGAAGTACCTTGTTAGCATGTCTGAATTGTCTGTAGTCAAATCTGGCTTCTTTTCCTTTGTTTTTTGTTTTTTTTTTTTGTCTTTATATGACTATTTTTTTTTTCCTTGACCTGGAGGCGTAAAAAGTAGTTGATTATTAAAGAAGGGAAGCAATGGTTATCAAATGAATGATTCACAATGTGTTTTTGGAGATTCATCCATAGAGTAAGCATCAATATTGAGTAGAGAATAGGATGTTAAGAAGTGGATCATGTCTTACTGGGAACAAAAGCAGAAGTGAATCATACAACTAAGATAAAAGTGTTTCTGTCATATTTCAGCAAGGTAGAAACCTGCTTTTTCATTCATGTTCATGTTGTCATATGTGTAGAGTGATCACGAGAGAAAAAAAGAGAGGAAATGGTTAGACTTACAGTTCAAGATGAATTTTCTTGCAGCTCAAGTGGCTTATTTAATTTTAGTAAGACTACTTTATATCAGTTTTTTCCATTATTTGTTAAGCCTATGGTAGCTTTATTTCTAATGTCAAGTCTGTTTTACGTGGTGGCATGAGCTACCAAAAAATACTTCCATGCATGGCAAGTAATTATAACCGGGATGGAGCTGTTAAGCTTTTCGTTACCTCTGTTGATGATGAAGTGCCTTCCATGTTATGTCAATTGTTACAAAAAAAAATTTGCCTATGAAAACATTGTCAGACATGTTTTTTGGCTTTGTTTATGCCCTTGTTTATGTATTCATTGAGGACATTGGGAGCTTAGTTTTTCTCTTTCATAGTTTACTTGACTTTCAAAATCAGCTACAAAGGAGAAAAACAAAAAGAAAATAACCAAATGCCATGAAAAAGGAGATAAGAAAACTGCAGTGGGGAGTATAGATCTAGTCTGCAGGATGGTTTCCCTGTTCCAATTTGGGACACTGTGCAAGGGACTTGCTTGTTGGAGCTGGGAGGGATAGGAGTTAGTGTTGCGCAATGGCCAATATTTATGTCCTCAATTATTGCGCAAATTTCCCTTGGGGGGTCATCCTCTCTGATGCTTAGTTCAATCATTTTGCAAACTGTCAATCACTATCGTTACAGACTGTTATAAATGGAGAGCTTCAACCATTGCACAGGCTTGCCTCACAGCCAAGGATTCACCCTGTATGGCCAAAATTGCTTTCAACTTCTTTATCAGGCCATCCACCATGATGTCCTATTGTATCTAATAATGGTTCCCCAAGTTGCTTCGGCTGTTGCAGGATCACATGAAGTGTCGCTGTTAACCCGCATAAAAAATTCAAATGCAGGGTTTTAAGATGAAAAAAGGAGCTTTTTCAGTGTGTGCATCTGGTAAATTGGTTGGGACAGTCCGGCATTCCTCAAGATCTAGCTCCCTTCTTAACCATTCTTACGGGATATATTGTGTTTTGGCTAAAGACACTTTCATTATGGGATTTGTATTTATGGGATATAAGTTGTGAATAGCATGGATAATGTTTATTTGGCAACTAGTTTAAAGGCATGTGGGATACAGAAGGTTAATATTAGTATTTTAAGAAAATAATTTGCTTACATCATCAATTCATTATCAGCTTCCTAATGGAGCCTTAATGGTTAGGGAGTTTGCTATCAGCAACCAAAGCAGCACAATGTTATTATTCTTGTTTTTGACCAACCTTGAGTGAGGTGGATATAATTTATCCTAAGAATGTATCTCATTTGTTATTGTGTTCTGCTTGTGTCCATGATTCACATTTGTTTAAAGCTATAATGTACGGATACTCCGTTTAGGGGGCAGTATCTATATATGATATGACACTTTGTCGGATGCTCTAGGATCGGATACTCGAAGTTATATCTCGTATACACACCATATGTATCCAATAGTTAATAAATTTTCCTTTCGATACATATTGGGTATGGGATCCTAGGACAGACAAAATCTCCTATAAACCTGTCCTTAACGGGATAGAACTGACTTTCATCATTTGGGGAGCACAGGGACGCGAGAACCAATGACTGAACCCACAAAGGCGGTTTGTAAATAACATGTGCTTCTACAAAACACCCTTTAACTAAAACTAACTGGTTTTGACTTGGCTATCTGAAGTATATATGAAAGTGGGATCCGTGAAGCAGTATATACAATTTACAATTCTAGTGTTTACTCTTTCTGTTCGAATTCGCTTATATGACACAAATTCATATGATTTTGAAGAGAGGAGGGTGTTTCTTGAGTAAACTGAGTTAATTACACCCTATCTCTGGGCAGCAAATATTTTTAAGCAAACCAACTAGTTAAGTGGTGGTTCTTCTTCCTCTACTTAGCCATTCACTTGGTGGTACACCACGAGGCGATGATATGTGCTTCTTTGAAAGTAACACATGTTTATTTTTTGGATTGTTAGTAAAGAACTTACTAAAAATTATAATTATTATTTGGTCAGATAATAGTGAAAGTGTAAGTTTATTGTAGACGTATCTTGGCCTTGTTTGTATTATAGTTTTTTCAGGTTTTGTTGTATCTCCATATCAATATGATATTGTACCTGTATCTGTATCTATATCTGTATCCATATCCTTACTTTCTAGGTTATAAGGATTTGCCATGTAGGCGTACTTGGGTTGTGCCTTGCCCATGTCCTAGGTACATGTCGATGCTTAGGTTAGAACATGAAGTTTTTCTTGTAGCAGGACCTTTTTCCTTTTCAGTGAAATGAAGGATACAATATTCTGTGTGAAATGTGGGAATAATCAGAGTGCTTTACTGTGAGTCTATGATACATTTTGTTGTTCTGTAGATGTTGTTGTGCCGAGGAATAGCCACCATACCAATGCTTATAAAAAATGTAGTGAATTCTATGGATTTTCTTTTGCAGTTTTATCATAAAGCTGAACCTGTCTTAGCGCAAATGCGATTAGCACTTTATACTTCTTTTTCGTTATATTTTGCAGATCAAATTGGGCTTACTCCTGAAGAAGTCATTTCAAAAATTATGGCCAACCCTGATGTTGCCATGGCATTTCAAAATCCAAGAGTTCAAGCAGCCATCATGGAGGTATGTATGACTTGGTTTACTTTTTCTGTTTCCTCTTCCCCCTTTTCTTTGCATGGTTGCAGCCTAAAATCTTCCATTGATGCAGCTGATCCTTTACTACCTGAGATAATGCAGCTCATGGTTTGCATTATTTCGAATGAGTACTAACACTATTGTTTTGGCAGTGTTCTCAAAACCCATTGAGTATTGCTAAGTATCAAAACGACAAGGAGGTGAGATGAAAATTTGTATCAGACGTTTTGTTGGCACACTAGTTTTTTGTATTTTCATGCTTGGTAGTTTGGAATGACTATGGAAGAAAAATGGTGTGGATTATGGACGTCCTATGCCATCAGGGGCTTTTTGGAGATTTACCTTGACTTTTTTGTGTCATCTTATATTGATTTTGTAAATTAAACTTTTGGTGCCATCATTTGGTGTGTGAGCCTTTTACTGTTGCTGTTACTGCCTGGTTCTGGATACTGAAGAAAATTATTTTATTTGCTTTCTTATGCAGGTTATGGATGTTTTCAATAAAATATCAGAGCTCTTCCCTGGGGTGACAGGCTCATCTTGATTCTCTTGGCGCCACAACTGCAGTAAGAGGGCTACACATGCTTTCGTTTATCTGGGATCAATGAGAGATTACTGTTTGCATTTCTTGCTTATGGCCATATATCATTCACACAAGATTGGTTTGGATATCATGATAAAAAAGGATCCTGCAGATTCAAGTACCAGTGTGCCATGATTGAACAAACTAAAAGCCATTTCATCCATTCAAAGGTTTTTCATGTTAGTAGCCAATAAGTGGTGATTTTTGTGAACTTACATTTGATTGTTAATTTTTGTAATCTGTTTAATAGTTGAAGTAAACCCATTAGTTTTTTTACGAGCTCTCCCTCTCCCTCTCCCTCTCCCTCTCCCTGTGTCCCCCAATGCCCCCTGCCCTCTCCTTTGGCGCAAAAAGATTCACGTTGATTCAAGAGGAATGCTTTATGTTGGACCTTTAGTATACTGTGGTGATAACTACCTCAGTAGCAGTTTGGCATTTCTTGAGTATGTCTGGATATGTGCATGCACTCAGGGGAAATATAGTTTCCGAAAGCCTTTTTTTCATTTCCCCTCCTCAAAAGGACATCCCATTGCAAGATGTTCTTGCCATTGTGAGATCTCGGAAGGAGTTAGATATACACAATGTTACTCTGCATGTCGGAGAGACTGTTTCAAATTATGTGGTGAATAATTAAAGATAAATTCTGAGATTGGTTGTTAATTTCTTCTGATAATTTAGTAGAATCACTGGTGGTAACCTCATTGTAACTGTCAATCCTGCATTTCTGAATGTCTTGGAGATGTATTCTGGGTCGATACAGGATTCTCCATTCTCTTGAATTCTTCCTCATGCATAGACCTAATATGGATAATTGTGGTGAGTACTTGTAGTTGCTATCGATCAGCAAATTGAATAAATTGGGGAGACATGGACTTGTATCAGCTAATTATGTCACTATTTCAAGTGAGATATCATGAGTTCAGGCATAAGTCTATCGAAATTTTGGGATAAGGCTGCTTAATACTCATATTCCAGATCCCAAATATAACTGGAAGGATTGCTTCCTGGATATTACTATGGGTCAGATGTGAAACATGAAGTTAATGCAATTAATCTTCTCAAGTAAATTGAGCTAGGGGTTTAGGGGCAGCAGCTGGCTGGCTGTTATATTCACATTAGGGAATGGTACTTCTGGGGCTGTTGAAGTTCTGCTTTTGCACAGAATCAAGCCCTCGGGTAGAATATAAGCCCAAGTGGTGGTCAACAGTCTCTCTCTCTCTCTCTCTCTCTCTCTCTCTCTCTAACAGAGAATGCGAGCTCTTAGTCATTAACTTCATGTCTTGGGTCGCCTAGTATGCCTTGATAATATAGCCCAGCCCAAAAGTATTGGAACCTGGGTTAACCTCGTGAACCACTTCGAGCTGAAAGTATAACAGAACCATATTTAGTTCCGTTACAGCTTGGTGAATCACTTATATCCCTATATTCTTGTTTACTATTACTCTATCTACACACACGTACAACTCATTTATCACTCAGAGTTCATTCAGCCCCCACTGCTCATACCTCTCGTTTTCATAAACCATCAGTTTGATGCCGTTTGTGGGAACAATTGTCTTCGTTCTACCTCGAATTAACAACCTTTTCTTATTTTTTTTTTTTTATTGATGATTGTCACGACAAGCATGAGCCAAAATCCAAAAAACCAACGAATACTAGCACCACCAACATCTACCAATGTCTTTGGTGGAGGAGCATGTGACTTACCAGCAAATCATGCAACCCCTTCTAAGGCAAAATTAGCAAATCATCATTCTCCTCACTGCCCAGCAACCTTAGAATCCTTTACACCCCCTCAGCCACCTCTTAATGGGATCACTAAGGAAGACAATCAGAGCCATTCTTATGGAAACACACGTCACCATCGAGCCCAGACAGAGTAGGAAGGTGTGGTGAACAACAAAATTGGTGGAAAGATGAGGCATATACCTGAACCTTCTCTTTAGCCAAAACCTTTGAATCAGTATAAGGAAAATTGCGTCAAGTAAGCCCAGGATGAACTAGGCAGTGTGAAAAATATTGTTAAGAACTAAGCTTTAGTCTCTATGGAAGCTCTGGTTCATCATATACAATCTCTATTTACTAAGGAGGGTCAACACTTTTCCCTTCCTGCTAAGCTTAAGATACCTTAGATGGAGGCTTTTGATGGAACCTAGGATCCTTTGACCACCTCAACATGTACAAGAATTAAATGCAACTTCATGGCTATCAAGACCTAGTTTGATGTAGGACCTTCACAAGCACTCTCAAGGGCTTTGCGCTGACCTGGTTCAACTGGTTACCCTTATCTTCAATCTCTTCCTTAAAGGAACTATCTATGCAGTTTGTCTCCCACTTCATCGGTGCGAGGACTCACCTTAAACTGACCTCCTTCTCCTCAACATCAAGCAAAAGCCAGATAAATCATTGAGAAAATATGTTCAACAGTTTAACAAAGAAACTCTCCAAGTAGATGACCAGGATGACGAAGTAACCCTGATATCGTTCATCTCTAGGCTTCAACCTTCTGAGTTCCTCTTCGTAGTCTCCAAAAACCCATTTACTAGCATGATTGATCTGTTGGCCATAACAAAAAAGTATATTTGATGGCGTAAATCAACGTGGATGAGCAAAAGGTGCAAGTAACGTGAGATGAGCGTGGATTAGAGCTTCAAGGCTCGTGTATGATGCTGCAATCAAATATTGAGGGGATTAAAGGGGTGTACACAATAAAAATATAGTGGTTCACCAGTTCAGGAGCTCGGCTAGTCCACTCTTCAATGGAGGTTCTTGCTCCTTTTCTTCTTTATTGATTAGTTGAATGTAATACAAGACAGTGCTAAACTGATTAGGGTTTTCCTCCTTTTCTCTCTCTCTCTCTCTCTCTCTCTCTCTCTCTTTCTTTCTTTCTTTTTCTTTGCCTCACGATGAGGCATTGCATGGTATTTATAAGGCTGCCCCCTATTCCGTGGGATTTCGGCCGAGATCTTTGCCCATTATTCATGGGATCCTCCTTGATTTTATGAGGGAATCTTGGTTAGTTGAGAGTTTCATGCATGAGGCCTAATTCCCGCAATCATCCAGCTGTTTCCTGGTCAGTTTAGCTACGATCTCCCCAAGGGGAACTCCACCCTTGGTTCTCTAAGTTCCCCGTGTCCTTCCTGACCTCCTGACCTGACCTTACAGCTAGGGCTTGTTTGAGGTATCATCAGTTGCCCCCCAGCCCTTGGTTCAAGCGGGCTTGGGCAGGGGTTGAGCTGTTTTGTAACCAAGTAGGATCTGCACGTGGCTGACCTTGGCCCACACGTGAGTTTGACCTTTTTGGCGACTTTCAGCAATCATGGCTTCCTCATTTCCCTCGCACGTTTCACTCCACGTCTATCAGGCTTTAAATGCTCAAACGACTATCTGAACTGCTCTATTCCACTGTTCAACTTCTCTGCCGCTTCTCTCTTCTTGCAATTTCTTGGCTTTCTGGTTTGGAATTCTTTGATTCCTCATTAAAGATCAAGTTCTGTGGGTTCGATTTGAGGTTTCACATTGCCCTCTTTCTTTCATTTCGCTCTAGGTTGCTGTTCGTTGCTCTTTCCCCCCTAGGTACGCCCTTCTATCCCTTTTTCATCTTTCCTCGTTCTGGATCCCCTCGAAATCGAGGTGGCCATTGCATTTCTAGGCCTTTCGATTCTTTTACTTTTGGAATCGAAATTACTGCCTGTCTCCTCTCCCCCACTTCGTGGATTAGTCTTCTATCGTGCGAATCCTTGCTATTGGAAGCTACTGCGCTGACCCTAAGGTTATTAGGTAGTGCTTAATCGGTATTCCCCCTCTCTACCATTCTTTCAATTTACCCTTCTCTTGTCCATTCATGTCTACTCCTTCTAGAGTTACACGCTCCTCTGCTTTTCTCTTGGGGGAAAGGTCTGTCGAAGAGGACACTGATTTAGGGGATGTAGGCGAAGAAATCGACAACTTCCCCAGTGTGGATGCTGTTGATGCCGAGGAAAATACTGAGGATCCATCCCCATCGTCTTCTTCTGTGTTCCCTAATCCTATCAAAGGTAAGGGCAAGGTGAGTGGGATAGGAGTCTCTAACAGCGCAGCGGGCATAAGGGGCCGCCTTTAGGCACGCCGAGCTAGTAGAACCCAGTGAGGTTGACTCTTGTCATGTGAGAATTCTTAGTGCTCGTTACGATTTTTCTCCCGGTGTCCAGCCCTGGTGTCCAGATAAATACACCCCATACGTTGCCCAAGTTTACAAGAAGGTATGTTTTTTTGCGGCAGCTTTTGAGAATGACCTTCGCTTCCCTATGCATCCTTTCATCAAGAGTGTTTTGCAACACTTCAATGTCTGCCCTGCTCAGCTCTCCCCTAATTTCTGGGGTGTACTTGTGGGTCTTCTAGTTTTCTTCAAGATTCATGGACTCAGGGTCCCCAACCTTTCCTTACTTGTGGATCTCTTTAATGTCAAGCTCACCTCATCAGAGGGTTTCTTATATATCTCCAAGCGAACCACGGCTAGGCAAATCATTACTCATCTCCCGAGCTCTCATAAGGGTTGGAAGAAATAATTTTTTTTTGTTGGGGCACCAACTGGGAGTACAACCTTGCTGACAGGACTGATACTCTGGGTATCCCTAGAACTTGGTCCACCCCTGATAACTTAGGTGAGCTCTTGCTCGAACTGATTGAGCTCTGGTTTGGGAATCGTTGAGTCGCCTTTCTAACATTTGCTCTCCTTGTGTTGCTTTTCAGGCATTCGACCAGAGCTCAATGTTGAGGACGAGAGGGTAAAGCGAAAGTTGGAGAAGTGCAATCTAGAGAAATACTCTGAACTCATCAAGCACTAGGTCTTAGTAACACAGGGATTCAGTCCTCCTGAAGTATCGATTGAAGCTCCGTTCCCTATCTCAGTCGTTAGGCCTGAAGACGTAGAAGGTAACACTTTTTGAGTTGGTTCTCTTGTCTTTCCTTCTTTTCCCTTT